AAAAAAAACAACGGTAAAATTTATAACCGAATTTTTAAGTTTTTCATCGTTTCTTCTCTTCTCTTCCTACCTCAAGCTGAGCATCATTATTATTATTATCGTTTGGTTTGAAAGTTTGCAAAGGATGCTTATATTTTTCAATGGAAAATTTCGCTTCCTCTTTGGCTTTTTTTTCTTGTTGGCGCCCCGTTTTTTTAAAATCTTGTCATTTTGTTACAATTTTCAAAAAAAAAGTTTTACGATTTAATATGGATTAGCATCGTTCGTTCGTTCGTTCGCTGGTTGTTTTTTTTGTGGATAAAAATCATCAACATCAACAATAATAATAATGATGATAATAAGTCAAAAAAAAACTTCAAAACACAAGATTTCCTTTTGCTTTAAAACCAATAAATAAACCAAGAAAAATGTTTAAAAAGTTTGACCAAGAAAAGATAAAGATAATCAAAGCGAAAGAAGAAAATCAATGTTACTTTTATGTTGTGTGTGTGTGTGATTGATGTTTGCAGACAACCAACCAACTAACCACCACCATATCTGGTTTGATACAATTTTTTTTCCTTTTGGTCATTATTCAAGATTTTTTTTTGTAAAGCAATTTAAAATGGATTTTCTTCGTTTTTTGAAAAATTTCCTTTCAAAATAAATTTATGAAATTCTTGCAAAAAAAAAAAAAGAAAAATCAATTTTCAATCAATTTGATTGGAATTTAGAAAAATTTTGTTTTCTCTATTTCGTCTTGTCGAGTGGTAATCAAGTGTTAAACCAAAAAAAAAAAACTATTTTTTCCCCTTACATGACATCAAGTGTTAATTAATTAATTAATTTTTTTTTTCTGGCATCATCAGACAAACTCTTTCAAAAATCAGGAATCAATCGACCAGATGGATGAATGAATTGAATGATGAAGGTTTTTTTTTTCTTCTGCATCAATTCAATTTGTACGATTCGATTATTAATTATGTATTTTCCTCATCAACTTTTGGGCAAAAAAAAATAATTAACCCATGTTCTCGCCATCCATCCATCCATTGACCTGGGTCAAACATGGATTAATGATGTTTGGTGTGTTATCTCTCTCTCTCTCTCTTAACATGCCGATTAATGATGATGATGTTTTCAGGTGTTTTTTCATCTTCTTCGTAATCTTAGGCACCATCCATATAAGAAGTGTAACCAACAAAAGCAAAAAAGAGAGCATCGAAGACAAATGATTTGGTTTTACAAGATGATAAAGATGATGGTGGTCTCTCTCTCTCTCCTCAATGTGATTCAATCAACACCATTTCTGTTCTCTGTGTGTGTGTTCTGTTTGCATATTCGAGAAATGGCCATGTAGCTAATTGATATTTTTCCCCCCTCTCACTACCACCAATGTTGTTGTTGTTTTGATGCACGTAAAAATTATGTAAGTTTCTTTTCGGGGGGAGGACTGGAGAGCGATGATGATGAATTATATTAAATTGAATTTTCACTAAAAATCTTTCATCGTGTGAAATGAGCTCAACATCACCATCAAGCTTTGGCAAAAGGTGAAAAAAAATCCAATTCCACCACCGAAAAAAAATTGAATTAACGAAAAACAAGATAATAATTTTTTTTTACCTGAAAAAAAACGAAAAAAAAATCATGATAATCATTAATCCTAGCTAGCTAGCTTGTTTTAAATGTTGAATAATTTTTTCTTATGAGATTTTCTGTTTTATTAATTAATAAAACGAAAGAAAAGAAATGAAACGAAAAAATCAATCTACCAACAGATCATCATCGCCATAATATTGTTGACCACCCAATTGCATTTCAAATTTCCATTTTGCATAATCACTTCTGATTAATCCAATAATAGTGTGGCTAGTGTTTCAACTAGTACACTACACTAACAAAAAACAACAGAAAAAATTAAATGAATGAAAAAAAGGTCCTTAGCTACCTGAATTACCTGAAAAAAAAGTTTGTTTGTTGTTTGTTTATCATCATAATCAAAAACATCTTGATAGACAGAGCTGGTTCAGTCGAAATAGTCCAGGAAAAAAATAGTATCGACCTTTTTCGACCTTAACAAACAAACAAAAGGTCATATCGATGATGATATTACCTATTTTTTTTTTATTTGTTTCTGATTGATTCAAGGTGTGCAGTTGTTTTCCCGGTTGTAAAAACGACAATCATTTTTACAAACACACGCAGCATGTTTTCTCTCAATTTCAATTTCACTTTTTTTGAATCTAAAGGACAACATCATCAAACTATCCATTCTTGAAAATTTTCAATTGGTGTCACTTTTGGGCTGTTTTGGCTGAATTCAATCAATCGATCCAATTTCTCAGTAAAGTTTTTTTTCGTGGATCTGGTCTATGAATGAAAAACCAATTCAGAAAAAAAAAAAATTTCATCCACCTTTTCTGGCTTTAGCTTTGGCTTTTTTCTCTCGATTATCTCGATTGAAAAATCTCTAAACAAAAATTATTATTATTATTATTTTATATTCACACTAATGGATCTTTTAACCATCTAATAACCAATACCAGGACCAGCAACAATAATCGAAAATCAAAATTTTTGATTTTTATCTCTCTGTTGCCTTTTGCTTTGCTCTCATTTTTTTTGTCAAAAATTTGTCATTCATTCATTTTGGATCCAGAACAAAAAAGCAGAAAATGACACGCGATTTTTTTTTCTTTTGCCAGTTGTGAATCAATGAATGAATGAATCCAAACCAGGTTCAGCCCACCAAAAATCGTTGTTTTTTTTTCTTCACTTTTTTGTTTGTTTGTTTTTGGGTGCAATATTGATTTGTGTGTGTGATGGTTTTACAAAGCCAAATCATCATGAAAAAGGTGCAAGCTAGGTCTTTTCATTGGTCTGTTGTTGTTGTTGGGGACTATGAACAACAACAACAACAACAAAAACTAAGAGGAGGGTTGGACTTTTGTGTTTTTTTTCAACACAAAACAAACCAATGGATGGTCCCTTTTTTTTTGGTTAGTTCAGCGGTCTTCAGCTGAAGATTTTTTTGAATGTTTTGATACTGGGCTTCAGTCGAAGAAAATCAACCAAAGATCTTAGATCTGTTTTTGTTTCTGTTTTGAAAGAAATTTTTTTTCCTGAATGTCAAATTCGAACAACAACAACAACAACAACAAAGTTAGCGGCTTTTTTAAACATCTTTTTTTTCAATGAAAATTTTCAAGTTTTTTTTTCTCAGTGATAATTTTCACCATTCATTTTTGGTTTCATCAATTTCATCAATTCTACCAATCGATAATCAACATTTTTTGGTTTCAAATTTCAATCAAGAAAATTTGCCCAGTTTATCATCATCATTTCTGAATAACTAAATCAGCCACTGGTTTTTTTCTCTCGTAAATGTACATCATTTTTTTGATTTTTTCTGAATTATCAAGCAGTGTCCTTGACTTTATTTCAATGGTGTACGTGGTTTATGATTTGATTTTTGATTTTTTTGATTTGATTTCAATATCAAGAACCAAACCAGATAAAAAAAATCAACTACTGTTGTTGCTGCTGATTGGTTAAAAAAGAAAGAAGTTGGTTAATCAATTTGCCTTGAAAATCGTATGATCAATGTGTTTGATAAGATTTTGTTAATGTTTTGAATTTCATTGATCGATTGATTGATTGATTGATTGAGAATTTTTGTTTGAAATATTTTTTAAATTGTCGATCGATGCATATATTGATGTAATGTTTGTTTAAGACGAAGAAGATTTTCTGTTATCAAAAAATGAATTGAAAAACTTCTGTGTGTGAAAATCATTGAAAAACAAAGAAATCAATTTTTCAATTTTTGGTTTTTTTGATTTGATAATTTTTTCTTCAACGAACGAAATTCGAAATTCAAAGAAACTTTTCTGTTATCGCAAATATTTTATCATAATTTTCTTTGGTTGTTGCTTTGCCTTGAGATTATCAATTGCTTTTTGATTTTTGCTTTTTTGAAGAAAAATTTTCGTAATTGCAAGTATGTGTACAGACTGTGTCAGTAGTGTTAGTTAGCATCTTTTTCAATGTTTGTTATGTATGAGTGTTAAAATTAATTAATTCTTGTTTTAAAAACAACAAGTAAGTCAAGTTGTCCACACATTCAGGTTAGGTTAGGTTGACTTAATGACTTTTTTTTCTTTGTAAAATTTTTTAAAATTGTAAAAATTATTAACTAACTTTTTATTTTTTTTCCTCTCATTTTTTTAATAAAAAAAACTACAACTTGGCTACTGTTAACACCTACACATCCAATAATCGATAAAAAAAATCAATCCGGTGCAATAAAATGATTATGATTGATTGATTGAATGTCAACATCGCTTATCTTCTCGTCTTATCTTATCTAATCTAATTAACCGTGAACTGGAATTCATCAAATCTAAAAATATTCAAAATCAAACGTTTTTTTCTTTTTTTTGGTACATCCTATTTGTGTTTCTCTCTCTCTGTGTGTGTGCGTACGTGTTATTTTATCATCGAAAAAACAAACAAAAAAATTGATTATCAATTCGCAAAACGCTAATATTCGATTCATAAAATGATCATCATCGTATGACTATAGTATCAATCAATTAATAATCGTTGTAAAAGTTTTTCATTTTTGTTAATCCGCATCGCATTCGCAAATTGGACAATCGCAACAAACAAACAACATTGAACAATAATAATACGAATAATCGTTATTCAAACAGAATCGACAACGATCATTTTTTAAAAGTTTTTATTATTATAAACGTAGTAAAAAAAAATCATACAAAATTGAGCGAAATATTTTTACTAGTCCTAATAACGGCTGTTTGTCAGGTGGCAGCATTAGTTTTGGCGGAGGTGGTGGTCATTTTGGTGGTATTCAATTTCCATTACCACCAACACCACCAAAAGATAGTAGTACACCAGATCATTTAGCATCATCATCAGCATCATCATCATTTGGTGTATTTGCAGCGGCAATTGCTGCATCATCAACATCGTCGTCATCATCATTATCATCATCACCGGCATTATCGACGCAAAGCGGATTTTCAACATCATCAACAATACCAAATTCTATTTCATCGTATTCATCACTAATGATGGATCTAGTGCCGAATGCGGCTGAAACATCAGCTGCGGCTGCTGCATTAGCGGCTGCAGCGGCCGCTGCAATAGATATGAAACCTGGTTCTTATTATATGCCATCACATCATCAACAAACTAGCCAATTACATTCATCACAACAACAACAACAACCTCAACAAAATCCACAATCATCACAAACGGGTAATACCGGTAGTGGTGGTGGTCCAGGTGGTGGTGGTAATAATAATGGTTCATCATTAATATCACATCAATTACATCAACATCATCAACAACAACAACAACAGCATCAACAACAAACGCAATCACAAGCATCTTCAGCGTTAATCGCATCATCACATCATTTAAGTCATCATCTTCATCAACAACAACAACAACAACAGCAACAACAACAACAACAACATCATCATTCAACACATCTACAACATCATCAACATCAACATCCGCATCCACATTCACATCATCAACATCATCATATGCTTAATCAATTAAGTTCGGCTGCAGCATTAGGTAATGCAGCAGCAGCGGCAGCAGCCGCTGCAGCAGCAGCACAAGGATTAATTGGATGTGCAAGTACAAAACCACGTGAAGGTACTAATAATAATAATAATTCTAATAATAATAATAATAATAATACCTCATCGTCAACATCAACAACATCATCATCATCATCGGCAGAAACAGAAACAGAAACAATCGATCTAATTATTGCTAATAATAATAATAGTAATAATAGCCGTACAAGTAGAAATAGCCGAACAAATAATAATAATAATAATAATAATAATAATAGAAACAATAGTAATAGCAATAATAATGATAATTATAATGATAATGATGATGAAGATGATGATGATGATGATAATGACAATAATAATATTGTAAATGTTAATGAAAATAATAACGATGATGATAATAATAATGAAGATAATAATAATAATAATGATGATATTGATGATATTGATGATGATGATGATAATAATGATAATAATCGTCGATCAAATCAAAATATAAATACAAATACCGGTGGTAATATTATTGGTGGTAGTAATAATTTATTTAATTTTCATACATCATCAATATCATCATCATCACCATCATCAACATCATTAAGTCCATATTATACATCGGCTGCTGCATATGGACAAATGGCATCAGCCGCTGCTGTTGCAGCAAATTCTGTTGCATTAATGAATCAATCACATCAACAAAATATTGTTAATGATCATTCTATGCATCTTGGTTATCATCATCATCATTCTTCTCATCATCATCATCATCCAAATCATTCATCACAATTACATAATCCACATTCACATCTTCCACATTCAGTATCATCATCATCATCATTACAACAAACAACGACAACAAATTCATCAAATAGTCATACGGCTGCGGCTGCTGCCGCAGCAGCAGCAGCAGCGGCAGCTGCTGCTGCAAATCATCATTATCATCATCATCCATATAGTGCACAGAATCCATATGCTAATTTTAATCCACATCATTCGCATACGCATCCACAATCATCATCATCATCAACATCACCAAAATTAGGTGCAGGAAGTTTAACAGCAGCAGCGGCAGTTGCTGCATTAGGTGGTGGTAATAGTAGTCCAATATCATCAAATGGTCATCAGCATCATCATTTTTCACAACATCATCAACTTAGTGGTGGAAATAGTTTAGGTGGAAATAGTATCCATCATGGTCAAAATCCTTATCTTAATCATCATCATCATCATAATTTAAATAATAATCATAATTCTCATCACCATCATCATCAAACAATGACTAGCCAAAAAACTAATAATAATCATAATCATAATAATAACCGTGCCAAAGGTCGTTCCAATTCCGGAAAAGGTTTTCATTTTTTTTTCTTATTATTTTTGTTTTCGTTTTTTTTCGTTATTTTAATTTTTCAATTAACCCTTTATTTCCATTATGATTTTTTTTCAATTAATCTTTATTTTTTCGTTCTTTCAATTAACCCTTGCTTTATTTAATTAATTTTTTTTTGTTGTTTAATCCTTCCCTTCTCTTACCAAATTTTTCCATTCCGGTATTTACAACTTTTTAATCAAAGAACTATAACCAAAAAACTATTTCTGCTTCTGCTGCTGATGCATAATGATGATGATGATCAACAAGTTAAAAAAAATTATGCTTCATTTCATTTCATTTGCATATGATCATCATTCATTTTTTCATCATCCTATAATCGACAAAAAAAAAGAAAAGCAAACCATCATCATCATCATCAATTTACTTGAGCAAAAATTATTGAAATTTTCTTTTTCTCCAAACCAGGGACTTTTATAGTAGAAATAGCAATCATCGTCTATTTAACCAGACTTTTTTATTTTTTATACTTCTATAAAACATCTCTAATGTCTTTTTATATCATCTTTCTGTCTGTCTGTCTGTCTGTCTAACTATTTCGATACTAATATGATTTACTGACATTAACTCTTTACTTCTTTTAATGGATGCTAAATGTTGATGATGTTCAGCTGCTGCTGCTGTAACGCTATAAATTTATAACCTGAAAAAAAACTTTATTGAATTTTTCTCTTTGTAAAACTTTTTTTTAACACAATTTTTTCAAATTTTTTTGTTCATTACCAAAATAGAAGGCCGTGAATGTGTTAATTGTGGTGCAACATCAACACCATTATGGCGTCGTGATGGTACTGGACATTATTTATGTAATGCATGTGGTTTATATCATAAAATGAATGGACAAAATCGTCCATTGATCAAGCCTAAACGTAGGCTCGTAAGTGTAAGTGTAAGCGAAATTTTTGGTTTTTTTTACATTTTTTTCACCTATTTCTATACACATACAACACAAACAATAATAATCATTACTTTGAATCGAATCAATCGATCAATCGATTGATTGATTGATTGATTGATTTGATCTGCCTACTTTTGTCATTTTTAAAGTTTTCTTCTGTTGTCGTCGAAACTAAACATTGTTCCGGATCTCGTTTCTCGATCGAATGATAATCAAAAACAAATTTTCACTTTGAAATTTCAAAAAATATCAATGACGATGATCATTATCATTTAGCTAGTTAGCGCCCGAATACTTTGGGTGTCGTGAATTGGCATGATGATGATGCCAAACAAAAAAAATAACAACAGAAATTTTTATTTTCAGTTGAAAAAAACGATACAAAAAAAACAAGCCGACAATGATCGTTAGTTAAATACATAGTTAAAAGTCGAAAAGAAAAGAATAGAAAATTCTTCAGGATTTTTTAAGCATCCGTATCCGTGATATGACCTGCCTGTATTTTCTTTTCTTTTTTTTCTGATAATGTTTACCCGATGTATATGATTATCACCATCATCATCATCATTATTTATTCATAATATGGATAATGGTAGAGAAAAAAATAGTGATGATGATTTGATAATGATGGTGATGGACGAAAAAAAAAATTTCAAATGATATCAATATCGATTGTTCAACTATCGATTATTGATTAACGAAAGATAATCTATCTTACACCTTACAGGTTCTAATAGAGAGAGAGAGAGAGAGAGAGAGAGAGAGAGAGAGAGAGAAAAATTAACCCTTTTTTAAATACACATTTTGATATTGACCAAAAATTGTTCCCCTTGTGTGTTTATAAGTGTTGATTAATGTGTTGATAAGTGATGATAAATAATTGTTTCACACACTATATTTTATTTGAAAATTATAAATTGTGTTGATAGTATGTTGAAGTGTTAAGTGGATATATGATGAAGAATAAAAAAAAATCCGGTTAAATAAAAAAGAAAAAAAGATCAAAATGGTAAGATAATGTCATCATCATCAGGTAGCATTATGAAATTGATAAAAAAAAGGATGCTTCAAAAAAAACCATTATCATTATCATCATCAATCAGTCAGTCAGTCTGTCTGTCGTTTTTCTCTGGTGGAAAATGCCGACAATCTGAATGATAATAATCTCTCTCTCTCTCTCTCTCTTTATTTGAAATGATTGAAAATTAAACAATAAGAATAACAACGAAAAAGATCTAGATATCTGTGAAATATCAAAAGATAAACATCATGATTACGATATTTATGGAAAGGAAATGGATAAAGGCAATGATGATGAAATGAAAAAAATGATACGCGCAGTAGTTGTTGTTATTTCATGAAAAAAATCCCTTTTACCAGAGGTAAAGGTGAGAAAAGTGAATGAATGAATTTTCATTCATTCATAAAGTACATTACCTGGTGGTTAGTTATTCTGATCATATCTGAACCAGAAAAAAAATCCTTTTTTCTGATCATATCTTTCATCATCATCATCATCATCATTGTTATCAAAGGTAATTGGCCAATGATAAATGATCATTTCAAACAACAACAACATTTTGGTGTGAAAATGTAATATCAGATCTGTATCAGATTAGATTGATGATGATGATTATTATTTTTTTCAACTATATCAACATAATAGTGATCAAATTTTGTAGATTTAGATCTTCTTGTTGTTGTTGTTGTTTTTATTAATAAGATGTGCCGACAATTGATAATTTGTTGTTGTTGTTGTTTTCCTGATGAAATGGAAAATTTCCCCTAAAAAAAATTACGGGAAGTTTTTAAAAAAATAAAATAAAATTTCATTCAGTACGTGTGATTAACGATGTGGATAATTTGAAATTTCAAACAAAACAAAAAAAACCCAAAGAAATTGAGAAATTTGAAAAAACAAAAAAGCAAAAAAAGTAAAATAAATGGCCATATCACGAATCAGAATATATCATCATCATCAAGAATGTGAAAGGTCAAATCGATTTTCAATTTTTTCTGTGGATGAAATTAACTAAAAGAAAAACGAAAAAAAAACTATTTAAAATTTCAATTAATCTTTAACTAAATTGTTACACATTTTGTGAACAGCAACAATAACTTTGTTTTTGAAAATGTCATCATCCTCCTGCTTATTCTTCTTCTTCATGGATTAGATTGGGTGCTGTTTTTTTCTACACGAAGAAATGATAATTTCCAGTGTTTTTCTGTGTTTCTTGTTGTTTGGACAAATTGATTATTTGCCGCAACAACAACAACAACAATTTGTCAGTCGGCAAAAAAACATTCAAATAAATTCAGTTTATTCATCACCAACCACCATCATCATTTCATGATTGACTTTGAATTTCTTCAGTTTTTTCATCTCTACCCAAAGATAATTCCGTGTTTGTCTCACGAATTATCATTATTTCATCTCTCGTTCTCTCATTTCAAACACAACAACAAAAATCATCTGTCAACACCTTGTTTACCCTGTTTGTTTGAAAAAAAAAGATTTCTTGATTTAATTTCTATTTTACCTTTCTTTCTCTCCTCTTCTCAATAACACCTGAGAAATAACATTTAAGAGAATGTGTGATTGTTGTTGTTGTTGTTGTTGTTGATTTGGTGGTAGTTTTTGTTGTTGTTGTTGCTTGCATTATCATTATCAATATTATCATCGTGACATTCATTCACTCTGTACATAGGACTCGTGACTGATGATCTTGAAAAGCAAGAGAGAGAGAGAGAGAGAGAGAGAGAGAATGAAAACATGATGATAACTTGTGTGTGTTAATAATATCAATATTTTTTTTTTGCCAAGATGAAATGAAAATTTTCACAAAACAACAACAATCTGAATCTTGAAAAAGCCAAAATCAAATTCCACCGGTTATTAAAAATGGTTTCATTTTATCTTTTTTCTGTTGTTTGTTTGTTGAAATTTGCATATTCGACATTTGTTTTTTAAAAAAATCAAAAAAAATTTGCATTTTATCATCATCATTAGACCAGCAATCGATACAATCGATTGATTAATCATCATTTGGTTTGGTTATTCTAAATTATGATTTTTTTCCGTTTCGTTTTTGTTTACTTTTATTCCGGGAATATATTACATTTATACAATTGTTTTTCAGAAAACAAAACAAAACAAAATTCAAATTGCCTTTTTTATCCCATCAATTATCATGATGATTATGATGATGATAATCATCATCATTATTGGCGATAATAGCCATTATCATCATCAACATTATCATCATAATAATGATGATTATAATGATGGTCTTTGATGATAATAATAATAATTTTTCATTTGTTTTTCGTTTGTTTTTTGTTTTTTTCGTTCTCGAAGTTCCTGAATCTTTTATTCATTTTTTTCCCTTTGTTCGACCACCTAGTTTGCTTTTTGTTGATTTTGGATTTTGGATTTTTGTTTTCAGTGGTTTTTGTTTTGTTTTGTTTTTTTGGAATCCATAATTTCTACAAAAAAAAATCTATCAATCAAACTGGAAAAAAAGGATAATTGATCGATCGATTTCTCTCTGTCCAAAATGATTTCCATAATATTTTCTCTATCTCTGTGTTTGTTTCTTGATGCTTTTCGCGGATTAATTAGATTTAGATTAGGGAAATTTCTTCTTCTTTAAAAAACTTTTTTAAAATTTCTGACTTAAATCCACCACCACCACAAACAAACAATTAAATGAATGGTAAGCCAAACCCAAACAATCAATATTGTGCATCATCATCATAATGATCAACAAGGAAAATCAAAAATCGAATCCTTATTATTATCCTTATGATTATAACCAATTATATCCATCGAATCAAAATCGATCATCAAACATCATCAACAGAAAATTTATTCAAAAAAAAACAATGATTTTGTTTTTCCATAACCTACCTGTATTTTACCATTCAATTTGTCGGAAAGTAGAAAATTTCTTCAATTTCTTTTCCTGTGTGTGGTTCACTTCACTTCACTCAAACAAACAAACAAACAATAATCAAAAACCGAACCACAAATAAACGTGCATCATCCATTTTCATCCTTGATGATCCTGATGATTTTTTTAAAGCTATGAAATTTGTAATTACACGCCAATTTTCATCTCATTATCCAATTCGTTTTTTCTCTCGGGTTCGATTATGGCCAAAACATTCAACACACAACAAAACTGGATGATGATCTCGATTTTTTTCGTTATTAGTTTTGTTCATGTTTCATTCATTTATTTTATTCATTTTTTTTCGTTGTTCGTTGTTAGTTAATGTTGTTAGCCGATGAAATAATAAGTTTCCTCTCCCCATAAACATCCACATACACTTATTAAATAGATATTGATGATTAATGTGATTAATGATCATCCTTGAACGACGTACGGCTCTCTCTGTGCGTGTGTGTGTGTTTGAGGTAACATCCTTACCGATTATCACCACCAACCAACACCACCTAAAATTTTTTTCCCCACTGTTCGATCACACCACCCACCCTCCTTTTTTGTTGATTATAATCACGATTGTGGTTGGTGGGTACAGTGTGTGTTAATAATCGAATCGAATCTATTGAATTTCCAATGAAAAAAAGTAAAAAAATTTGTTGTTTTTTTTATCGGCAAACAAAATTCACGGATTCAAAATCCATTTTCAAATTGGAATTTATGAAATTTTTTGATCTATTTCAACAACAACAACAACAGAAAATTTAGTTCAAATAGAAATTAATCTAATTGATTAATTGGGTAGAAATAGAAACAGAAATTCAAACAGCAGCAGCTGATCAGAAGTAATTTGTCATCATCATCATTTTTGTTCGCCAAACAAAAACTTGAAAAATTTTTGTCGGCTTTAAACCAGCGAAAAAAAACAACATTTTCCAACCAGAATTAAATCAAGAATTTTTTTTTTGTTTTCGCTGAATGTTCATTCTGAATTTTTCTTCTGTGTTTTAACACTCACGAACAACAACAACAGCAAGAGAAAAAACACCCTTGCTCACGATCTTCATCTCTCACTCACTATATTGGATCAATAATTAGCCAGAAAAATCATCATCATTTTTTTTCACCAGAAAAAAAATCAAGGTGAGCCGTATGCTTTCCTGAATGAATGAATGAATGAAGGAATGGAGGGTTGATGAAACCAGGATTGGTGAAGAAACACAATCAATTCAACTTATTAACACGAATTTTATAAGAAGTTTTAGTGATGATGTGATGGTTCATCATCATCATCATTATTCGTTGATAATTAATGATCAATTTTTTTCTTGCACCTTGCTTGCACCCATCATCGTTTTTTTGGTGAAAAAAAATTGAAAAAAATATCGATAGTTTTTGACTGGCTGAGAATGGCTGACTTTTTTCAAAAACGGAAAATGAATTTTCTTCCGTTATCCAAAGTAGGCATTTTAATCTCAGTTTTGAAACAAAAACAAAAAACGAAACTAAACAATACGAAACTAAATGATGACTTAATCATCATCATCATCATGATTATCATGATAATAATTCAGAATTGAATTGAATTTTTGGTGTAATTAGATCATCATTCAAGGTTCATTCAACCAAACCAAATAGACAAAACAAAAGCAAAAATGACAATAGCCTATCATCATCATTGACTTTTACATATTTTCTTTCCTATAATAATAATAACTGCTGACATCCACCAACAGAAATAACCAGTTTTTTTTTCTTCTTCTTTGACCAAACCAAGCCAAGCAAAGCTTGCTCAATTCAATTGGCTATTGTTTTTTTCTGTTTAGCTACGCAATCTCTATAATTATATGGTGATGATAATAATGATAAACAGAAAACAAAACAAAAACAGTCAATTATCAGTTTGGGTCAGGTTGGCCATCTCCTCCTATTCAATTATCTTTTTTGGGTTTGAATTGACACATTAAGTGTGTTTGTTTTGGGTTTTTTTCATAGAGTTTTTTTCCTTGGTTCGTGTGAGCAATTTGTCATAATTTTTCTTTTTCGAAAACTTGAAAAATTTTACGCGTGTTTGTGCAAACCACACACACACACGTGTAATCAATCAATTGGTCAATTGGATTCTGGTCAAAAATATTTTAACCCTGATTGTAATTGATAGGTGCAGGGTTGTTTTTCTGTTTTTTGTGATTAATTTGTCTCCAAAATACCAAACGAAGGGCAGACAAAAAATCGATAAAAAGTCAATCGATCGATTGATTGGTTTGATAATTTTCTGTTCTGACCACCATTGGTGGTCAACCTAACTTGACTTGACTTAACTTTTAATTGATCAACTTTAGTCTAGTTTTTTATACAGCTTTCACCAGAAAAAAATATCACCATAAAACATACGCATGTTACAGACGAAAAAACTAAAACTAAGAAAATCCCCCCCTTAAATTTGTAATTTAAAAAAAATTCTAATTTTTTCGTTTCTATTTCGTTTTTTACAATATCGATTTTTTTTCAATCGTTTCAATCAAAAATGATAAAACGGAAAATGGAAAACAAAATGAAAAAAAAAATAGCAACAATCGGCTGCCAGACGTGCAGGAACATCATGCGCCAATTGTAAAACAACAACAACAACATTATGGCGCCGTAATCATAATGGTGAACCAGTTTGTAATGCATGTGGACTTTATTATAAATTACATAACGTAAGTATTTCTTTGTTTGTTTTGTTTTGTTTTATTTTATTTTTGGCAAGAAATTTTGAAATTTGATAGCCATTAGAATCCAATGTGTAATATTTGTTGTTGTTGTGATTCTTGATCTTGATCTGGTTGTCTCGACGTTATTTTCCAACAAAAAAAAAAAAAAAAAAAAGCCAAAAATCGTCCCCCCCCTTTCTTTTTTTTCAAAAAAACCCCCCAACCCAC